AAATGGGCATTCCGATTAATATGATTACCTGAAAAGAAGGTCACCATAATCGTCATTCGCTACTACCATTCTCAGTCTTCTCGGTCCACATCTCCTCCTTGTTACCCAACGTATCGGCGCTAGGGGTGTGGTCAGAGGACATCTCCACAAGGTAGGTGACGGACCTACTAGGCTGATGTAAAGCATACAAGCTGCTGTGTTCTAACCTGATGTTCTTGAACTCAGAGTAGTTTGTCCGATCTCGGGGATATCCACCGTATGTGGGCGGCTCACACTGATTGATCGGATCGGGGTCCTCCTCGAAGCCAGCACCGTACGACCAGTCCTACACCGAGACTATCAGGCATATCATCTAATAGCCTTCGAGTAACTATTCTCAGCCAACCCAAAACGCTCATTATTCGACATAAGGAGGAAACCCATCTCCGGTAACTACCTCCATGCCTCCATCTACGGCGTACACTGTGTCGGTCATGGTACCCATGGGGTACCAGAAATCCCCCGCAGCGGTACGACCAGCAGAGTCCTACAAACACAGACACTTCAAGCCTGAGGGACATGCTCGGCGGCCTACTCGCATTAGAGTTGCCACGTCCACTATAGCTGCTAGGTCCGGTGCATTAGTACTCTTCCCCGCCTTGATATGGTTGTTGCTACCCCATGCATAAGAGAGCACCTTCACTCCACCGTGGAAAGTAACAGACAACTGGAATAGATGCCTAAGGACGTGAATACTCCACTTCAAAAGATCTCCAAAGTTACCTCCGAAAAAGCTCATTGATGACTCTCGCCGTGATAGTCGCCATGCAACTCCTCTGTTGATAGGGAAAGTCCCGGTTGGCATCGCGCTGACGTATCTTCTCATAACGAACACTATGATAGTACCCATACGCGTTGGCCATGGGTATAATATACGTACTCCGACTATCGATCAACCTGCAGAGAATGGAGTAGCTCACTTAAGCACATAAATAAACGACATCATGTATGGTAAAAATGAAATCTATATTCATATCAATAGAGCTATACTATGTACGATATGGATTAGATCTACCATATTTGGCGACTATTTCCCGAAGAATTATCACTAGTACCATCGGACCTCCTTGGTACTCTCCGCTTGAGCTCTCCCGAGTAGTATCTTCTTGCCAACTCCGACACATCGCAATAAGCGTATTCGTCCGACACGTTCATTGCCGTGGAGCTCTCCAGAGAAGAAAA